TTGCCTTGGGGAAGCAATGAGGCCAAATTGAGAAGGATCGAGGTTAGAGGTCAGGAGGTTTTCCGTGTTTGCAAACCCTCGCAGATCGCAGACCGCTTCTGGAGCTCAGTTTTATCGAGTCACTGGCCGGCAGGTGAGCGAAAGGTTGGATCACGCGATCAAGAATACCGAGGTTTGACCCTGCTCCACAAAAAAAAGAAAAGAACGAGTGAGGTTGCTGTGGTACGAGGCACTCCTGTTTAGTTCTAGCAGGTTTTGATGAGATCACAGGCAGATTGAGGAGGTATTATCCCTCGAGATAGGGTAGAGAGAAGGTAACCCTACAGTGTTTACCAGTTTTTTTTCTAGCTGTTCTAATTCCAGGAGGAATCGTAGTGGCAGTTTTGAAGATAAGTCGGCCATTAGCTGCGGGTGGAAGGCTACTTGACCAGTTAGCGCGTTCCAGAAAATGCCCCCCCCCCTCCCGCTGCTTGAAATTGCGTGATTAGAACGCGGCCCTTTCTCGTCTCTACCACTTTTATGATCTCCACCTGGGGCACTTCGGCTTAGTGGGGACATTTTCCTGATTACTCGATTTCTGCTGGCGCCTGATGTGGAACTCTGTAAGTTCCTGTAAAGCTAAGCAGTAATAGCTTCATTTAGTTTTAACAAGAGTCTACAAGTTTCTCCAAGGTTAGACTTGCAAATTAAGAGGATCTAACAAATGAAACTAGCGGAAGTGTGAATGCCCCTCCCGTGTGAAACAGCTTCTCTCCACCTCTATCATATGTCCCATCATCGGCGTATAAGGTGTGTAGCAGTCTAAGGTCTCGACCATTTCCATGCGTTTTCGTGATACCATCGTATGGTTCTCTTGTCCACATTCGGTGTCTCTTTCTTACAATACTCAGAACTAGCAGATGTCTTATTCGGGGGCATCGGCGGGTTTTTCTCCCGGGACCGTGAGCATGGTGGGCGGCGCTTCTGTTTCTGCACCATCTCTGCCCCTAGCGCGTGTAAAACGAAACCAACAAAAGAGGTCAAATACAGCTTCCTCTCCAGTGGCGAATTACTTTGTTTCGCACAGCCGTGTGCTCCTTGACTGTACCAATTCCCTTTTTTGTGAATGTTTGTAACCATTCCATAGTTTCAGTATGGTGACTTCTTCTCTTTACAGGGAGATGCCAATTATTCATCAACTTCTTATGAATATGCCAAACGAGATCCACTTGGATGCCATTTTGTCGGATTCATTATATCTCGCTTCACTTATGCCACCACTCGCTCTGAAAACAGAGTTCTCCCGGCTGTACAGGCAGCGCGTAAGTTTGGTTCCTGCATACTTTCATGAATTCATTTGAGCTGTAAAAGGCTACCAGAGCGCAGAGCCCCGGTCAACTTTAGATTAAGGCCCGAGCAATCAATCGAAGATGGGCACCAGTCTCGAGATACGCTATCACGATGGTTGCAGCAGTTGGAATAGCAGGAGCCGCTTACTACTTTTAACCTAGGCAATAGATTTGCTTTTTCTCTATGAGAACGAGTTTCACTTGAAGAAACAGTCCGCGATCATCAGATAGGCGAATACTCATCAACATTATGCATTCCCTTTTACACGTTTCCGTCCTTCATCGTATCAGAAGGATGGGCGCACCAATGAAAAAGACTCAGTGGCCGTGGGTCTCCGCCCATTTGATCATCGCGGAGTGTGTCTTCAAAGCTTTCTTCTATATTGATTAGATATCGATGACTCGCTCATGTGCAGGCTTTCTATATGGGTACATTTTGCGGAGTTTTTGGTGATTTGTGAGATTTTTCTGATCATGGAAGGCTTCCTTTACTCAGAGTTTTCTTGTAAGGTTACCTGGAAGTTCAACACAATTTGGGAACGTCAAGCATAATACTTAGCAACATTCACATGTAACTGGGTCACAACTAAGGTTTCGTGACCTTTCAGTAAAATAACTAGGGTTATGTTAAATGCAAGCAGCCAAGAAGTTCAACGACTTGAGTTAACCTCTTCCGCCTATTGTGTTGAACTTAGGGGTGAATGTTGTGCCAGCATGGCAGAATAGCCCTTGCGTTCTTTAGATTACCGACTTTCCAACTTTCATACGGGCTTACTTAAATCTGCCCGTAGACTCAACTTCATTGAAATTTTCCCATCTGGCTACTTCATTATCCATAGATCTATGGTAGAGACATTCCTTTCTAGTATTCTTGTTAAAGCTTTATCGCCGTGCCGTATCATGTGTAGAACTCCTGTGATAAACTTATTATTATTCAGTGTACAATGTCAAAAAGATGGATATTGATCCGGACGAGTTAGCGGCGACAGTGATCCTATCTTTCGCCTGTGGAACAGGCATAAAACCTACAGCGAATGGACAGCCATCAACCACCACGTATCGCCATTGTCAACACAAACATTCTAGGAATTTTCAACAGCAAGAAAGGCACACGCTGGGAAAGTAATGTGGTGTGAAAGGAGTACAGCAGATGAGGCGTCGTAATTTGTGAAAATTTCCCACTACGAAATGAACCTAAATGTACCGCAGTATGAGCGACGGTCAAGACAATCACGCCGCGCGCGACTTTCATTAGAGCGGCGGATTGCGATGTTTTTCTCGCCTGCCTAAGGACTTTATTCAATTCAACTGATGTTTGTCAAGATCCAATTAGCCTACAAACAAACGCCTGTCTGGGACAGCAATCGCAGCAATACGGATGCCAGCATCGCGCGTAAGGGTTACATATACAGAGTAGCCTTGATGAAAAGCTGCGATGTATAGACATTTGGCATTGATTTATGAAAAGAGAAAGAAACCTTTTCTCCTACCACGTGGTGTGGTCGGAACCTGGACTACCGGCCCTTGGATTCAGCTATACTATATTTATTTATGTTGTGCAATAGTAGGACATCACTTGCTATATAAAAAAGATCTTTTGGAAGCTATAGGCGAGAGCGGGTCAGGAGGTCAACCTGCGGCCTCACGGCCCGCGTAATGGCCATTGCTCCACCACCCTATGCAATACGAATGTAATGTAGGAGTTTCCACGGTGTCAAAGAGGCGCTACAACTGGTGTCAAAGCAGTGACGCTCATTATACCCCCCCCCCTCCCCCTCCCGAAGGTTTATGGACGATACCAATCAAGTACACTATGCCAGCGCGAGCACAGGTGAATTGAAATGCGGGCGGCGCGGACGAGTGCGACCTTGATCACTGCCATATGCCAACTCAGAAAAAATAGGGAAGGAAATTCTCTCTATTCTGGGTCGATGCGCTCATTCTCCACATATATGCCACATATATGTATTGCAAGTTGCCAGATAGTCCTGTTGATGTACCTTTATCAACTTGTATATTTTGATCGATCATTTTATGAAGAAAGTACCAAAAAACGGTTCGTAACAATCAGTATTGTGAAATATCACCAATTTTCAACAACAAGATTCAAACGTCAACCAATCTACATGCAACGTAACAACATTCCAAAAATAAAACAACAAAAACAACAACGTTCTTCGAAACAAAGCTTACAATTTGATAAAAGGCTCTCTTCCAGAATTTGAAGCATCTTGGGCACTCAATGCGCTTAAAACTAGTGAGCACCAGAAGGATGAGGATTTTCGCCTAAAGCCTAACGAGGAGAGGAGCTTCAGAATGAAGCGCTAAATTGTGTAGAGGGGATAATGAGGCGATTCGGGGGATGGATGGTTTTAGCGCGGCGCCAGCCCGCTTATTTTCTTTTCTTCCGGCAAGGGACAAGACTGTATCATACGTTCGTAGTCGTTTTCCATCAGTTGTTGTCACTTATCCGTTTCAACAACTGCGAGGGGAGGGCCTGACGGCGCGTCAGACCCAGCATTGACACGCCCCATCGCAGTCAAAATAGCTGTACAAAATGAGCTTTCGGACTATAGAACCAAAATGCTTCAATCTACAGAAATAGCGCCATAAGATCTCTACAAAAGGGCATTTTTCACCCACTGTTGCAACTGCTGCATTTTGCACCATTGTTTGATCATAATCCGACCACACCCGTTCCTCTTCTATAGATAACTCTTCTAAAACCTTCACTAACTCATCGACACCTTCGCTTTGATCTTCTTTCTTCCATAATGACGACCTAGAAATGGACAAAAAAGTTTGACTAATACGAAATAAAGTGCACTGTTCGACTATTACTACAGCAGCTTCTCGAAATCGCTATAATTTCCTGGCTGTTTCGGCTCGGAGGGGCATTTTACACGTTTGCAGATTCCTTCCTTTAGATCATGTTAGGCTGCGTTTATACTTTGCGGCAGCGTAGCGTAGCGCTTCCAGCGTACGCCAGCGGCAGTGTCGGGGAAAGGATAGATATCGATCTAGCGTTCCCAGCGTACGCTAGCGTAGCGAGGGCACGGGAAGCATAGCTATCGATCTAGCGCTCCCAGCGTTTCACCTAGCGCTTGCAGCGACGGGGCTAGAGAGGGCTAGAGGTATAGAGAGGTAGGAGAGTACGAGATAACTCTTCTACTCTTCTATTACTCTCTAGCCCGTCCGCTTGCAAGCGCTAGCGAAACCTATGTTGAAACGCTGGGAGCGCTAGATCGATATCTATCCTTTCCCCGACACTGCCGCTGGCGTACGCTGGAAGCGCTACGCTACGCTGCCGCAAAGTATAAACGCAGCCTTAACTGACAGGTCTCACTTTGGACGGACCTGTAAACTCTTGTGCACCCGTGAAATTGATCGAGTGAGCCGCTTCGGTCACAGGTCGGGTCTTCACAACTGGCCTGCTTGATGAAGCACCATTCGTGGCCTACACCAAACCCAATGCGTCAGATATCGCAACGGAGTTGCAGCTACCCCTATCACGATATGGATTCACTTCCAACAGTCGGCTTCAAAAAAGGGATGTAGTACTTAGAACACAAGAACGCCAATGTACCCAGCTACTACTGATTTCGATGACAAGTGTTATGACACCAGAATGGTAAGCCTAGCCGCCATTGTCTTGTTGTGTCATCAATGCAGAACTACCCTCGCCATTCAAAATTCCTAGCAAGGCTTCGTTGTAATTTCGCATAAGTAGTAGTTTCACAGCGCCAAAGTCCACCTACCTGTGAATTTTTATTGCTGTTGCCATATAGGCTTGCACCAATTCGAAGTCTTTTCTGGTCTTCAGCACCTGAAAAACGTTATGTCATTACATTAATATGGCGGCTTGGGTCACCAAAACAAATTATTTCATTAGCTAGCAAGGAAGAAGCCTGCTCCAGGGTATAATTGAGACACAGAAAGACTTAGCGTCAAAGCCAAATGAGAAAATAACGGACTGGCCGGCAGCGGGAGGGACGCAGAGAGTGATGCGCGGCGCGCCACTTGCCACTACACGGTCTCATGACGATTTCAAACAGCAGCTGAAGCAAATAATTTGAAATTATTGCCAACTTACCTCTGTAAGCATTTTGAAAAACTTGGGCAATAAGTCTGCTGGTAAGGTTCGTAGCTGAAAATCGATCGCAGAAACAGACATCTTTTTCAGACTAGAGAAGACCTCGAAAAGTTCCTCATTGGTGTCAGCTCTGCAAAGGGCTTTCTTAGAAATAAATAACAAAAACAATTATACAGAACGAAGGACAACAAAATTAATAAGAACTCACGCTCTCAATGAAGAGCTGAATGAACTTTCAAGTTCTAGTAAGCTTCTCTTAGCTTGTAACGTCCGTCGCGTTTCTTCCTCATCATCCTCCGGAACTTGAAACTCGAATCCTTCAAGGGTTGGAGCTGCTGTCAGGAAGAACGGTGCCTAAATAAAGAGTTCTTCTTGTTTGGCACTCGTTTCAAAGGTTGCGCGCTGATGAGAAAGGCGCAGTGTCTTGTCTCCGCCAAGAGCTCTCCATTCATCTGACTATTGCGGAGTCTTCAATCGAGCTAAATATCACTGAAGGGAACAATACCCATGCCAGATGTAGTCACTAGAAGGAAGTCATAGTCCACGATGATCGGAGCGGGGCGGAGATAACCTGCCAGTCCATCGTTCCTCACTGGGACCTCCTCTAAAGAGGACTGTTCCACCAGTGAGTAAGAACGCGCTCATACTTCGCGATCCAATCGCTTTGCAGAGATTGGATCGCGTGGCCACGATCGGAGACGCGCCACCGTCAATCGGTGGACATTGCAACAGCAGAATTCAATTGGTCCGCGTTCGCGCACCCTGTTAGTGAGGCCCTATTTGAACACTGCACTTGCAGCGGCCCGCCAAATGACGGTGTACTGCGCCGTGTCGTGGTCGCGCGATCCAAGCGATCGGATGTCGAAGCATGAACGGGCTCAAAGGTACAACGGCGATGAGTCTTCGCCCACCAAACATTGCGGAACCTGCCCCTTACCTATCCAGGTTAATAATTCTTAACACCAACCTGTTTCGTCTTTCTCGCGGGTTGATCAGGCTTGTTTCTTTCTTTGATTAGTGCGAGGTCGGGTAGATTCGCCCATCGGGATGGAGCCAATCCAGAATATGTCACAAGTGATGGGTTAAGCTGAAACTTCGTGTGGAGATACCGATACTCCACTGTCTTCAAAATGGAGCCAAAATGGAAATGTCGAATAATTCGTCGAAAAGGTGACTACCTGGTCAGGGGCGTCCCATTCGTCATCACTATCGTCGTCAATTACATACGTATTGACACCAATTTCCGCCACACATGAGTCTGCCCACGTCGGTATGTAATCCAGTGGGAGAGCTCGTATGTTCACATGTGATGCATACATCTTTTTGTTCACCCAGACAAAAATCGCTCTTTCACCCTGTAAAAGGTGGGAATGAAGAGGGATATGATGATGGAATAACTTTCGGCTTCAAGCAGAGGTAGCAGCAGACAGACAAACATGATGTGGCGTGTGTGGTCTGCCGTTTGGCACTCCCGAGCTGTCGTCACCCCGGAAAGTCTCATGAAACTCCAATTACTAGCGAAAATAATAGTAGTAGAGGACGGACGATTATATTCTATTTTATCTGACCGAATAAGTGACCCACTTCTAGGGCAGCTATCCCCCCTCCCTTCTAATCGAGCACAGCTTCGAGTCTACTTGTTGTCAGTCACCATCTACTTGTTACTGTAAAGGGTCAAAACCCAAGTCTACAGCACCCATCCCGGATGAGGGGACGCAACAAGCGAGGTTATTAAACAACTTCCCTTCTGTGTTCGCATGTACCTTCTAAGGCTAACCATAAGGTAGATGGGGGACAGCCGCTATGCGAACACTACCTGGATGAGAAGGCGCAGCCCAATCTTGCTGCCAACTACTTCCAGCCCCCACCCACCCCCTTTCACACATTACTCATGCTATCCTTGACGCACTTTGAAAGCGAAAAAGCGGCAAAGCCAACAAAAGGTAATTAAAAACCAGGGTACAGCATCGTGATGTGTGAGCTGGTGGTGTAGGTACGAACGCCCCCCCCCCCTATATGAGGGTTTTGGTACGACTCCCTTCCAACACCTACCTGTACAAATTTCCCCATTTTCCAGTTTTTTCACCCAAAGATTTTCCGTCGAGGGGGAAGCACATCATTGGTTGGAGATTTTAGTCGAGTCTGCACAACCATCTCCTTTTTTTTTGGGGGGGGGGGAGAAAGCGTGACCCCTTCCGCCCCCCCTCATCGAATCGACGCCGTCGGGGGGGGGGGGGAGGTTAAAGAGTTGTGCATGAAAACAGGAAAATCACAAAGTCAACCACCGCCTACAACGCAAAACATAATACGACCCCGCTCCCAACAAATGACAGGATACACCCGCCTCCTTTTAAAAGGTCCGTGAAGGAGCAGAAAAATCAACTATCAAAATAAATACTCCCAGCCCAACTACGAACCCTCCCCCCTTGTTGGGATTCCCCAACAACGATGTGCCCCTTGTGGGGTGGGTGGGGGAAGGGGTATATAGTGCACATGAAACAGGAAAAATCACGACGTGACAAATTTCTCTCAAAGGCACATACGACTCCTTCTCCCTCCCAACGACCAAATACGACCCCCCCCCCCCCTCCCCTTGTCCTATGTATTCACATAACGATGGTATACCCTGAGTAAAACAGTACGAATCTTACCTTGTGAACAGTAGCGAGATATTCACCAGTGCTGTTGAAGGACATGCCAATACACGGCTTATCAAAAAGCATTACGTCTATGAGTTGCGAAGTCGACAGTTCCCAGACCTAAGATAACTAGTTGACAATAAACAGCACAACACATATGAACTAGGACCAACTAGTTGTGTAGGTCATGGGTCAGATGTGATTTGCAGCGACAAATAAGAGGTAGCTCTTCACGTAAGGCAATCCTTAGCTAGCTGACCTATTAACTGTAACACATCGGCATCATACCACTCAAAGACAGGAAGGCAACGGACTGCCTAGAAGGGAGGGCGATTCTTCTCAGCTTTACGGTAGAAGGCCGCGTACTAATGGACATTTGGCGATAACCCAACACGGCCTTTTCGCAATGGACAGTTGGCGACAGCAATTGTGCCTGTCACCATTAAAAGACAGTCCTCACTTCGCGGGTCGTCAGGGGATAGCATAATCGAACTGCCAAGTCCATGTTTTGCTAGCCGCGCTCGTACCCATGAGTAATTATGCTCTCTTCAATTACTTTTTCTACCTTAGGAGCGCACACGGTCAACAGCAATACCTCTTGCTAGGTAAGACTTGTTCAAAGTGACCACCAGTGATGCAATTTTACATGCAATAATGACAGCCAAATAATCGATTCCTCTTTTCAGTTGCAATGCTCTTCTTTGGAATAGATTAGGCGATTTGGCGTGAGGGAATGGACTGACTTCATGCTTCCACAGATTCCTTAACGGTCTACTTTAGGCTCAATGACACTGGCGAACTTAGCCGAAAGTGCAAACTGAATCCGCCACCAAGCCGAGCTGCGCCTAGATCAGCGCCATATCACGCTACTATACCGTACCCTGATATATTTCTTGTCATCGGCCGTCAGCAGCCATCGTCCATCACTTGAAAACGTCAACGCATTCACAGATTGACCAACAGAGTTGAAATTACGCACGACTCGCCGACACAGTGTATCCACAACTGCTACGGTAGCACCTGGAGAGGATAAAACTAAGCAGGCGAATATTGGCTCCTTACAACTAGAAATTCCGTTTCTCTTTACTTACTGAGGGGACGAGCGAGGAATGGGCGAGCACTCACAACCACTGTGCACCTCCCTCTCTCCTTCTTTATTAAATGAAGGTGGCATAATGGTTGTCAGTCCCAACTATTTTCGCGTAGTTTGTCTTATCTCAGAGTCAAGGTACAAATAAACCATGGCAAAAAATCTACCCACCTTCTTCCCCTGTACAAGCTATAGCCAATAAACTATTCGCAGTGCATGGAGTTGAACGTTCAATCCGTAACCGAGTGCGCATTGTTGCTACGAGATGGCCACTTCGCACTTGCCAAAATTTCAAGCTACCCTTGGCGCATCCAGTAATCAGCTCGGAGCCACGAGAATTCACTGTCAATGCTGTTATCTTCGATTCGTGTGCTTTCTCTGCCTGAAACACGTATTCAAATGGAAATTTTGAAGGCACTACCCGTGAAAAGGCTGGCATGACTTGCCAAACCACCGACCCCCTCCCTTCCTGCGATTCGCCTGCAAATTTATTACTGTTGAGTCATTTCGGAGAATACGCAACAACAATTCAAAATTATTAACCGAACTCAGTCGTGTAAAAAACAACCTTAGCGGCCTTTCGTCCTTCTTGCTCATTTTTTCCTCTGACTGAACATCCCTTTGTGAATTGTCTTTATAAACAGTCCACTTTGCCACGTTGAAAGGTGATCGGACGTGACCTAAGAAACTAGCTTAGTAGCTGAATATGCATCAAAGCCACTGGGTATATGGGCTAGGAGGGTGGGTATCAATTCAAGAGTCACTGTAGAGGGGTGTTGGTCCTACGTCTTAGAGCGCTGGAAATGTGTCCAGGCGCTCCTTCACCAATGACTCCGAATTGGTGCATCGCCTCCTAGCCAACATGCCCACATCCTTCCAATCCATACAACCAACATACCAGTAGAATATCCAATAAACGCAAAATTTCCGCATGGTGAGAGCGCCACTGCCGTTGCGGTAGCACAAGATAAAGTAGCGTCTTTCACGAACCGTTCATGTACCAGCTAAAATGAAAACACATAAAAGAAATAATATCGCGTCGGGGCAGTTCGGCGATGGGTGGGGGCATTTCGCACGTTTGCTACTTCTCAGCGTGCCCATCCACCTAGAGAGCCTTTTCTTGAGTTGACTTGTTTTACCAGGGTGGCTCGACGAGCTTGCTCCTGAATTCACAAGAGGTCCCAGGTTGTCACCAAGGTGAACTTGGAAACAGGATCTAGTGAGCAGCAGCGAATGTGCCAAATACCCCCTCCTGACGCCGAACTGCGTCGTGGGTCGCAATAAACGCAACCCACTTTGTGTGTTCCTTGAGCGTTCTTCCTAGTTGTCCAGGTTGTAACAAGCAAAGTATCTCTGAAATTAGGTATCTAGGGTAGAGAGATTATGGAACGAGAACAACAGGGCAATGTCAAGAGCAGTTGTAACAAATGCTAAATGAAAGAGATGCAGATAATGGACCACTAGGTCGAAAAGTGCCTCCAATGGCTAATCAACTTCTTCTTATCAAAAGTCCTTTGAAAAATCCACGTTGCAACGAAAATAGTAGTATTTCCTAGCTAAATGGCTCAACAGTAGCAGCTTCACATTTAAAATCACAGTAAAAGGAAAAATGAGTCGTTCTGTACAAATAACAACAAAATGATAAGAAAACGTTCCCCCTCCGTGCACAGGTCGACAGAAAACTGGCGTGCGACTGCGTCACGCAAACTTGCCAAGAATGAAAACTGGGACTCGTGGAGTAGGGTGTACTCCGCCTTATTCGCGTGTATCCGCCCACTCCACAACTACAACTCACTTCGACAAGGCGTATCAAGTCAGAAAATAATCACGCATCCAAATGGCGAACGGGGTGGTGGGGAAAACAGTGCTGATAATACGTGATGACCGGCAAATCAGCCCAGCCGTATGCAGTCTGGTTCGCTGCTGATGACGGACGCGTTTGCGAAGCTACTTTTAGGCCGGCGCCATCCGTTTTTTTTCGGCAAGCGACAGAACTACGTCACCGTTCGTTCATCCAGTGGTTTTCGGCTAGTTGTATCACTTACTTGAACAACCGATGGAGAACGAGATGGCGGCGTGAAACGCAGTTGTCGCGCGCGCGGACACACCTCGTCATCTGCAACAATTTCGACTGTACCCCTCTATTCGTACAACGCTAAACTGAAAAGCAAAACGACTACATATAAAGGGCAACTCGACAGTCTCTTCCCAGACGCCGCTTTGTGACCGCTCTTTCATATTTGGACGCCAGAACCCTCATTTCGCCACCAAGCGCTGTGCCTTTAACAAATTATTATAGTTCCTGGTACGAATGCCGCGCATGTGATGCCGCTCACAACGTTGCGTCGTCGCAACGTGGATCTCCCAACCGACACTTTTTGTTATCGCTATTTCAGCCAACAAAAGCAGATCGAAGTTTTTTTTTTTCGAACTCTAAATTGCGCTATCTAGTCAGATGTGCTTACTTATGCCTGCACAACACATTGTCCCACGCCGCTTCCCGACTCCATCCGATTGCCATATCAATTACGGGCTCCATTCGTATACTTTCAATAGCAATGTGCTTCTTCTTTGCGAGAGCCCTGAAAGTAATTCTTTTTAGAAACATGTCAACTCACATCAAGGGATACTAAACTACCTCGAAATTGTTCCAGCGCTGCCAAGCTTCTGCCGCATGGTTTCAACATTCACCATATATTTGCGAACTGAGCCGTCCAGCCCAGATTGACAGAAGATCTAAAAACGAAAAGTCTTTAGAGGGTTTCAATGCAACTGAACTAGTACCGCTTGGACAGGAGCATTTTCATCCGCGCACAAGAATTCTTAGTGCTAGCGATCTTAGTGGCAGTTGGGGGGAAGGAAGTCAAGCGCGGGACCTCCTGGAGATGAGGAAGCAATTCAATAAAATAGACCCCGGCCCGAAGAGTTCCCCTTCGCTGCGACGCCTGACTCCATAACCAGCCGTCCATCTCGTCTGAATTTTCCGAAAATTTGTCGTTTGCGTGTAGGTGAAGTGGGGGAGGGAGCACCCTTTATCAACTATCAGAAATAGACAAATCAACTATCAGAAGCTGTAGTTCTGCGGCGATGCCTATTGGGAGGGGAGGGTAGTACACATGGAACGAGAATGAGAACAGATAATATTCTCTAGTCGTGACAACTGTTTACCCACCTACCAAAAACGACCACCCCCTCGTGAGAACTCGCGTGCGAAGCGCCTTGGTCAGACGGCAGCGCAGCTCCTCTTGCACCCTCCCCCTCCCACGCATCCCCTACCCGAGATGGCGATCCCATTCTTCACAACCTCAGCCTTACCAGAACGCAGACCACCATGAGGAAGTACCTACCAACGCCGCGATTTTCTCCCCTAAACTGCCTTAGTAATGAATTCTGCCATGATATTATGGCATGAAAAAAGACTGTGTCAGCGCGTGGGCGGAGCTATCTGGTAACTGGCCTATCGCCGTAAACATCCCCCTTTCCATGTTCTGTCAACAGACAGAACTGAGCAATTGAGCAGGTTCACTCACAGGTATGCTAGATAAGACCTCCCGCATCTAGCACAACCTTCGCCTTGAAGCCTCTAGAGAGCTTTTGCACTGCTGAAGTTCTGTAACAAAAATTACCTCTTGCTCCCGTTTTGAATGTATCAGCAGTCACTCCTTCTGCGTGCCCTTCCAAAATAACTAGTTGTCGAGGCATGTCATCACCTCCATCAAGTACCCAAGTCCTCAGCGAATTATCCGCAGATGCAGACACCTTAATACTTGAACTGATCTAAAAAGCACGGAGAAAACGATGAACACTTACCATAATGGGTTCTCCTGGCATAAAATACAACTCAGTAACAGCGGCATGGTGAGCACCCGCCACCTTGCCTACCAACTGACGCTTCTCCAGATTCCACACCACTATGTCACCGCCGACATCAGCAGTTGTCATGAGAGGCTTGTTATCATTCCTGGAATTGAATTCTTTCCAGAACCGTCCAGGATTCCCTTTAATTCTGGCGTATCCGCTTCCTGGCTTATTTTTGAAACACCGCGAAATGTTCAGTTCGTGCAACTGCCTAAATGCGCGCAAACGTTCAAGTATCTGATTCGATGTTATCTCTTTTTTCAAGCAGGCGGGAGGGTCATACTCAGATACTCTTCTAGGGGTGGGGGCTGTATTTACCAGAAATTTTACCACAAACCCTTTCTTTCTTCTTCTCAGGGAAGCAGTATGAATAGCGTGTGATCCTTCTCTCTGTCTCAGTGTTTAGTTGAAATATTAAGTTTCAGCGCGTTTATCCTTAGCAATTTGTGGCACACCTCATGGTGTAAATAAATAAATAAATAAATAAATAAATAAATAAATAAATAAATAAAATAAATAACCGATCTCTGGCCTTGCAGTTGAAATGTAATCCGTCGCTTCTAGGAAATAGGGTTCTCATTCAAATACTTGTCGAGCCGAAAATTTGCCAATTAACCCCAGAAGAAAAGTATAAAAAAAAATCGATCAAGGGAATTCTAGACATACTGAACCCAACAGCAGATATTGCTTTTTTTCGTGTCGAAATTTGCATATGGTCTCATCAACTCGAACATTATGCAAGATAACCTGTCCATTAGCGAGACCTATGGCCATTACGTCAACTGCTGGAGATTGTTCAAGTACTGTTATTGCCGCATCAAATCCTAAACATCGGTGGCTGAACAAAAGATAAACAAGTAGAGATATAGTTGTTTGTTACGAGCACAACTGAAGTTTTTTCGGTCCAGTGGGCCACGTCGTAAGTTCGGGATCCCTAGCAGGAAAACCATATACTGATGGGCTCGTATTAGTTGATTTTTCCAACCCGTTTCACGACATTTATACTCTCCAGTTGGCAGCGCTTTAAAATCACCTAGTTTAGCCGATCGAAGGTGTCTGTCCCCCGCCTTGACGGCAATTTTTTTACGGAAATTTTGGTGCAGTGATAGGTTGCTTTTGTAGGGAGGGGCGGCGAGAGGGTGGGGGAGGTAGCGGAAGAGCAAGAACACTGGGGGAGGGAAGTCTTCAGCGAAAAGTTCGTCCTCAACGGAGACGTGCTTTGTTCCTAGAAGCAACCTGAGTGATGCGTCGTAGTACGTATTGAAGCTTTTATAATGAAACTCGAGCAAAAGTACTTGTAAAGTAGTATAAACGCTTAAGAATACGCTACTCCACGCACCACCAGTTAGAAGAAGATCAAACGTGGATCATCCTCCAACTTAGGCCTTAGGCTAGCTATATTTCATGTGTTTAAGTAACCGTTGAAAGACTCTGCGTTGGAGACTAATGTCTCTCAGTTTCTGCTCCTTCATCGAAAAGAACATGTAGAAACGGAGAGCTAGGAACACTCCATACCTCAGGAGAAAGTAACAGCTACGTGTTCCTGTGCCGGCTTTCCTCTCTTACACATACTCCCTGCCTCCCCTCCGTCTAGGCTCTCGCTCCTGTCGCTGAGCTCACAGTATCTACGTAGACACGATCTTTTCGCCCTGAGCCTGCGTTCATACTTCGCGACTCGAGCATTTTGGTTACTCGATTCATAAATCAAGTGAGTAGGACCGACTAGTGCTCCACGTTGGATCGCCTTTGACAACGGAAAATCTCTACCCTGAACTAACCTACGCTGATGAACTCGTAGTTGCAATGATCTAACGATTACCGGTAATCGGGCGACGATTAGCAGTGCGGTCGCAGTAGTGCGACGTAATCGCGCGGATCGCGAAGTATGAACGCGACCCGACGTGCAGATTGCACTTCGAAGGATGGAATCGGAGCACCGACAGAGCACGGCTTTGGAATGATGTGATACGATGACATGTATTACCTTTCGAAAATTCATGAATGAGACGACCAGTGCGGAAATTTATTAGTCGCATTGTTCCTATAGAGGAGCCAATCAAGATCTGAAAGTCGCTGTCATAGTTGTAAATGTAAAAATTGTGATATACAAGCAAGGCTCACAGCCAGACTACGGAACGTATCAGAGGGTGCATGAGTTTCCCTTAAAGCGGAACGGACTCAACTGTTCCTTTAACCTCCTCCTCGTTTTCATAGAGTATCAGTTTTGTTACCAATTGTCGTTAACTAATCATTGAGACTCCCAACAAATAACAATAATCTTCATTACCTTGTACAAGTAGGTGCTGGGATGCACCATGGCCGTAACTTGAAATTCTTTTGAACCCTCCATATGAAGGAGTTTTTGTCCATCAGGAATATTGAAAACTCGGATGCCATTCTCTTCGTCGACGATAACCTACAGAGAAACAAAGGCAAAAAGCCTTAGGCATTGTTCACAGTCTGCGACCCTGATGAAACGGTGGTTGGGAGAAAAGCAAAAAAATAGTCATCGATCGGAGAATCGCCAACCGCTAGTTTCGCCGAACCGCCGCGGTTCGGCGGTTGAGCGAAAAGCAATAAAATGTTTTATCATTGTCGCTGCGCGAAAAAACGCCACGGCCCGCATCGTAGCTAGCGTTCGTCGAAGGCGAAAAACGGTACGGCGGCCGCGGGGGAGCGGCCCGGACGGCGGCAGGGCGGGCGGCGCGGGCGGTTGGCAAACGGGGGTCGAGGGGCGTATCAAAAATCCTTGCGTGTCGAGAGCGTCGGTCGTCGATGTTACGATAGATTGCTTAGAATATCTTTGTCGAAGGCGCGCGCGTTCGCAGTATAAGCCGGCGGGGTTCCGCAGACTTGGGGAAGCATCCTTAGAAGAGTTTCGTAGGCGGGGGAGTAAATTCAAGCAGTTCAATATGGATTAGATTCAATGGTATTTGAGTAGGGCGAGCATAAAACGAAGACGACCGAAACTCACCAAGTAATCACCCAGGGTCTTCATGAATTTTGTCTTTGCTCCAATTTCAATATACCGATCGATATGGCGGCAAGTTTTCATCACTGCTACAACAGCTCCGCAGGCAACATACACTCCACTGTAAGGAAGGGAAAGCATTAGCTTACAATGGGCAATATTACAATAAGGTTAAGTTCTTCATACTCTTGCGAATGAGGAGAGCCGGCGATTTAGCGAACTCGGCAATATGAAGCGTACGCGAGGGAAAGTATATGTCATTGATCCGGCGACTGCGCATTGACGAATAGCCACAAAAAGAAGATAAGAATATGCGCGAGAATCGGCGATTCTGGCAATTTAAGTGACGACTGAGCGATCCCGTCATCTGAGAGTTTTTGTAGGCACGGATCACCGGCGCATCGCTAATCCGCAGTCGCGCATAACTGACACCTGTTATTTCCTCGTTGCACAACCTCTCAAATCGCTAGTTCTCCCACATAGCCGAATCATCACTTACGAAGTATGGACGTAGCTTTGAGGGGTATTTATATGAATCCTTGCGCAGGAACCGCACAATTCCCACTTAACTGAAATGTACGCCAGGAGTAGCGCCCGATGTTGCACAAAGAAAGTTTCGAGATATATGAAAAGTTTAAAATTCAAGGACTAACGATCGATCAGCTGCAATGGCAGTTATTATATCTGGAAGCACGTCAGAAATACCGATAAGCCTGAGCTTTTCTGCTTTGTAGTGCATAACGACGTTGTCCACGGGACATAACAAGGACGTCATCCTAGAAATTAAAAAGACTGATTTTGTTCTAAACTTCATAAAACCCAATGCAATCATACAATCCTGACAAGATGCTTCGACTGCTTCATACTTTGCGTCAGCGAACACCAGCATTCACCGGCGACCAGCAGCGTTTCAAGCGTCCGCGAACGTCAGCGAATAGGAAAGTATAGATATCGATCTAGCGACCAGCAGTGGAGAGTATGGGGGAAAAGGAGGGTAGCAGCCAGATTTTCCATACTTTCCACTCCTAGACGCTGGGTGCTGACGCTCGGAACGCTGATGGTCGCTGATGGACGCTGCCGCAAGTGTGAACGCAGCCTTAGGCAGCGTTCAGACTTCGCGACGGACGCGATCGATGCAGTCGAAAGCATGCGCATCGATCGCGTCGAACGCGCGACCGAAGCGCTGCCGTCGCGAAGTCTGAACGCTGCCTTACACTGTGGGGCTGGGCCGCGCGAACCCCAAACCAAGGCTCGGTCTATGCCGCAGACAAGAGTAGCATCGT